AGGAAAATCTATTTTCTTTTTTTCTTCTCAGGAACAGCTACCCAGTAGACAAAAAAGGAGAGTTGCTTCACAACTTGGCCGTTACAAATTTCATTTGTCTCTTTACCATTCTGAAATCTGTTCTGTGTTGTCCTTATCATATAAAAAAGTATTCCTTATCTTTGACCGTAACTGCCAAACCCTCCTCTCCCTCTCTTCATGACATTTTTGAGCTGGGGCTGGCAGGGGAGGGATGGGAGGCACACATGGAATGCAGCAGGTGGGTAAAGTGTGAATACATGTGGTGGCATGGTGACTTCTTTGTTTTGTTCTTTATTTCCTACAATGATCCTAATATTTCTTTTCATCTTTTCTTAATCTCTGCAGAGCAGTGAATTAATGTTTTCATAGAAGTGTCTGTCATCGCTCCAAGAACTCTATCCTGAGGGGTGAAAGCTAATTCAGAACCCATCACTATGTATGTAAAGGTAGGATTACTCTTCATGTTCACCACCTTGGCGTTTATCAACAGTGAATATTATCTGCCATTTTCAGTAACTGAGAAAGAAAGACTTGTGAATAGTTTAGATCCCTGTAGTATATTTAGTATCTTTAAACTTTTCACACTCCATTTGTCCTTTTAGCTGAACCTTTTAATTTCTTTTAATCAGCTCTTGTTTTTCTTATGTTCCCTTCTTCACAGCTTCTTTTTAACTTTTATTGCTTCTGCAAGGATGCCAGATTTGTCTCTATTAGCCACAGATACAAGGTATCTCTTACTAACCTTTTCAACCAAGTTCCCCACATCACTCAGGAATAAGTCGAGTTACGAGTTTCCCAACTAATTTCTCCATGCACATAAAGTCTGTCCAAATTTTAGTCTCTCCATCACGCCGAGCGTGCCATTTTCTCAGTCTATGCATGGGGCTTTGTTTTCCGTTCTCTGACATCGAGTGGAACCCTGCTATGGTAAGCTGTCCCAAAGGGTGATCACTAATATAATTCCGTATTTTTTATCTGAGCATGCAACCCATCCACAGAGACTGTGTTGCTCATTAATGACATTACCTTGTTATTCTGATTCAGCTTTAGTACACGACATCTGCTTTGTCTTTCAGTGTAATCAGTACCAAGACGTTATTGTCCCACTAATTATCTTTCTCCCATCAAATTTCTGGTACACCTATTATGTCAGTATCCATTAAAATCATGCTTCTAGTTTCTCTTCTCATTAATTGCTGTTGTAGTTCTGGCTTAGAATCATGTATAGATTTGGCTCAGCTTTCTCCTTTTGCGTGCTGTGTTTAGGTGAGACTTTATTTGCTTATTAGCTGTTTGCCATGTGCTATCTTAGTTTTGCCAGCTACTTTTTAGACAATACAGAATTTCTATGGCTTCGTCTCTACAGGATACATCAACATAAGCTGTGTAGAGGACATGCAGAAGGCATCTCCTACCTCTGCCAGTACCGTCTCTCATTTAAAAAGTCCCCTGTAACATTTTTGACTGCTAAATGCTCACTAGCAGTGAGCATTTTCCTTCTGAAAGGCTTTGCCTTGCCTCAATCTCCATGGTCTCTAAAAAGACACACAAGCTGCATTCAAAAATGGACCAAAAAACTGTACTTTTCAGTGTAATGCATGTGTCCCTCACTGAACAGGTTACCCTTTTCTTCTTCAGACATCAAAATCCTCAGCAGG